TCGAGAGACAATTTTCTCCAATACAAGAAAATCGAAGCTAAGACGAGATCTGACATACGCAGAATCAAACGGGACTACTATCGGAACTTCTGTTGTTCCCTCAACCGCTTCACTAATCAATCTTACATATGGAGGAAACTAGCTGGACTGAAGCGCGCCTGGAACACTACCCCTCAGTCGAATGAATACAACGTGCAGAGGATTCACACCATTGAAACAGCAATAGAATCACTGTGCCCCCCTTGGGCCCCAGTACAACCGCCATGTTTGAAAAACGACTATGAAGACCCATTCATGGACCACCCCTTTACTAAGGAAGAATTAGAAGCAGCCATCCTAAGTACTAACCCTAAGTCATCCCCTGGCCTTGATGGAATTGACTACTTATTCATTCGCTCTCTCCCAGACACGGTCAAACCCCTGCTTCTAAGACTCTATAATGACATCTATTTGACTGAATCCTTTCCAACTGAATGGAAAGAGTATTCCATCTTCTTCATCCCTAAACCCGATAAAGGAAAAGTCAGACCCATTTCGTTGGCTGCTTGCCTTCTCAAAATCATGGAAAAAATGATCAACATGAGATTAAACTGGTGGTTGGAATACAACCACCTACTACCCCCCCTACAATTCGGTTTCCGTAAGAACAAATCATGCCTGGATAATGCCACTGTGCTTTACCTGGACATAATCAATGCGTTCGACCTGAATCGACACCTGGGTGCCGTATTTCTTGATATCCAAAGTGCTTTTGACAACGTATTGGCCGACGTCCTCATCGAAAGACTGAAACTCACAAACCTCCCTCGCCACTTTTTAGCTTTCATCTACAATTTAGTTTCAGAAAGATTCCTCTACCTCCGATACGACAACCTGGATGTTGTACGAACGGCGTATCGGGGGCTACCTCAAGGTAGTGTTCTCAGCCCGATTCTCTTTGCCCTCTACATGACGCCCCTCAACGCGAGCATGCAAGGCCCCTGCACCGTACTCCAGTTTGCTGATGACATCGCCCTCTACTATTCTGACAAGGATCCCAAAATCATTTCCACTAAGCTCACACAAGACATTGGTACAATGAACGTCTTTCTAGAGAACAGCGGGCTAAAACTGGCCCCCGACAAGTGTCAATATTGCCTCTTCAGTAAAAATAGAACCATAAGAGCTGCCCGCTGGGAAGTAACTATAGGCAACGCCGCATGCAGATCAGTGCCAGTGGTGAAATTTCTGGGAATATTATTCGAATCATCGCTTAATTGGAAACAACACCTCCTCTACATCAGATCCAAATGTATCAAACCATTGACTATTATCAGCTATTTGCGTTCAACATGGATAGGAGCCGACCCATCTATCCTACTACGCCTATATATTGCGCTAGTGAGGTCTCGAATTGAGTATGGTTCGCATCTTTTCACTCCGTTAAATGCCACAGAAACCACCTCCATGGAACGTATACAATGTAAAGCCCTTCGGCTAGCTATGGGATATATGGCATCCACACCCACAAATGTAACCCAGGCAGAAGCACGGATTCCACCCCTGGACATGAGATTTAAACTACTCTGTGACAACTACATCTCCAGAATCTACACCCTCTCAAATCATCCGCTACTGGCCCGTATATCACAACTTGCAGACACTAGGATGCATCCCACCAGGATACACACTGGACAAGAGCCCCTAATTCTCACGTGCTACAAGGAAATTGAACCTCTGCATCACCTTATTGCCCACTCCGATAAACCCCTGATATACAGTTACCCCTACAAGACTTCCTTTCATCAGGCCCGGGTCTCATTTGCCGAGGGCCTAGCTGCCAGCTCATCACCACAAGGGAAGGCCATGATCGACTCGCTGGTTAAGGAACTCGAAGGTTCCAACCGTTGTTTTTTCACAGATGGATCCAAAACGGAAGGTTGCCGTTTTGTAGGTTTTGCCTCCGTGACTTCTACAAACTCCACGGCGAACCTATATAGAACATCCAAGTATGCCTCAGTCTTCACAGCGGAAGCTATGGCTATTATATCGACGCTAGAAATGATAAAACAGAGTCCGAACACACACTTCAGTCTTTTCTCAGACTCCAAAAGTGTTTTAGAAGCCCTACATTCTGGCTCCCCACTGAAACAATGTAGTCATCTAATACTTACCATTAAAGAGCAACTCCTCATGCTTCAAGAAACGGGTAAAATCGTTCACTTCTACTGGATACCTGCCCACATTGGAATCACCCACAACGAACGGGCCGACATGGTGGCAAAAGAGTGTTTACAAAGGCATAGACTCCCAACTATTATTACCCTGGACCGACCTTAGAGCCTGTTGGAAACAGAAAATGTTAAAGGATTTTTACGCATGGGGCTACTCATCGGGAGCACACAAAGGAAAATATTACTTCGATAATTACTTCGCTGATGTACCTTACCCCTGGTTCAACAAGATTAAGCTCCACCGGAAGCCCATCGTCACGCTCAACAGACTTCGAGCCGGGCACTACTGCCTGAAAACCCACCTCCATAGACTCAANTACTCATCAGCATGCTATAAACCTGTTTCATATTAAGCCTACTTGTAAACTTAATGTAAATATGCTTTAACTCTGAACCTACTTGTAAGCATGTTACAAATTCTAACTTAAGCTTGTAATTGGCAGAATGGACCCTCCAGCCCATGCCAAATTCTTATACCTCACAATAAAAAAAAAATAAGCAAGTGGCCGAACTCGCTTGCTTGGCGGGACTGATGGTACGCACCATTTATCGGTAGGGTATAGAGACTGGTAGAATATCATAGAGGGAAGCACAATAGATCAAACTGGTCGCGGTGCATGGGGAAAACCCACCCTCTCTAAATAACTAACTACTCTTCTACTATAATTTCTCTCCCTCTCTCTCTCTCTCTCAACAACCCCCCCCCACACACACACACACACACAGCATACAAGCTCCTATGTCAGAGATGGAAACAGTCTCTGAATCATTGGCTTCTAGCTCCATAGTGGCAACACAGATCGACCAGAAGGATTCATTGTATAAATGTAATGTCTATAGCTTTTCAACCTGAACAACTCGGTAATGTATGTCTTTCATCAAATTAGGGCAATAAGAAATAAACACAAAATATTAATTAGGAAACCAGAAGGAAAGAAAGGACTAGAGAAGTTTGATATTATTAAAACAGATCTGGAAATACAACTTCTTTATTACAACCGTCACAACACAACTAATATCAAGATCAGTGCCTAGTTTTGATATTAGTTGTGTTGTGACGGTTGTGATAAAGAAGTTGTATATTGTAACACAACAGAATGCATGAAATGAAAAAAAGATCTGGAAATATTAGCATATGAGGGTGATTATTCGATTCACTTGACTCAGCATGAATCCAGTGGCAGGATGTTGTGAACACGGTAGTGGTTGTTAGCTACCTGATAGACTGTGAGCTTCTCAAGAAGGACTCGATTCTATTGAGTTAGTTGTGCGACATGCCCCTAATAATACATAGATCCCGACAAATGAACAGTCCAATTACAAAAGTCCGCCATTAGGAGAGTTCCCCAACTAAATCCGGTTCACAAGCACATCTAGTTTTCCTTAGATACAGCTCAATATTATTCATATTTCTTTTCTTCAAAACTTTAATTAACCACTTTCCACGTTGTTCCCCTCCTTAATTACATTAATTTATCTTATTTCTCACATTGAATCTTTCGTCCAGACCTAAGAAAAATATGAGTCTGTGTCCACTGCCTACCGATAGCCCAGCAGAGGCGATAGATTTTATCATTCTGGGAACACTGACAAGGAAACCCCTGGGGTTGTGATGTTGGCGTTGCGAGAATCAGGTCTCAGGGCGAGGGCACACCAAGGAAAATGGCAACAGCAACGCAACCGCAGTTTACGAAAAATGTTATCAGACAGTTGAACGCGTACAATTGAATTGAGTGCAAACTGAGGAAACAGCAATGCAGTTGCCCTTAGGGTGAGGGCACACAAAGGAAACTGGCAACTGCAACGCAACCGCAATTTATGAGAATTGTTATCAGCCTGAGTAGAAGACATATGACTGAATGTAGCAGCTTCTCAAGAAGGGCTCAGCTCCATGAGTGAGCGAGTCAGTTACTATTATTGCAAGCTCATCAGTTTTTGTCTTTTCAGATATTCTCCCTATGCATTCCTGAAGTTCCTGCTGGTTTTATGTGTTATATTGTTCAGATTTTCACCACATAACTATTAAAAATATCCAAATACTTGTAATTTTACCACAACATTAAACCTTATAACATTATGCTGTCTCTCCGTGATTTGTTCTGAAGATGAAGACAGTGCACACAGACTGCTGTGAGAGAATTTTGTTTGGGTCCTTGGAAACGTCAGACCTCCTCATGCAGCCAATTAGATTGACAAAGAAAAGACGAGTTGAGTCCAAGTTTCTGAAAATGTTCGTTGCCAGTGACGTGGGCAGGTAAACACAGTTCTAGAAAGAAGGGTATGAGAGCTATATCAGAGTGCAACACACAGCCACACTATGAGTAACTGCATAGCAATTTTGCGGTATGTTCAGGGACAGCAAGTACATACACGTACAAGTGCAATCAGACACATGACTACAGTTAGCCTAACATTTCTAACAATACTTCGGAAAATATAGTGCTCTGAAATGGAATGAATCATTTGTAGTAACTCCGTATTTTAAATCTTAAATCTTGCAGCAAGATTTTGTACTGTTTACTTTGCATTAGCAGTTTGTGTAAAGTCAATTAGTTTTATTTTGTCTGTTTTTTAATAATTAAATAAGCCAACCAACAAAAACGATTACATGTCTGGCTTCAGCATGCAGAGGTGGGGATACCGTTGTGCATAGCAGCATTTTGGGAAGGTTTTGCTTTGGGCCTGAAGCGATGCTCCATATATTAGGATTAGCACAAAATGAAGGCATGGTTGAGCTTCGCAACACAAAATGAAAGTAATTAATAAACACGTTTCATTTTGTTGCAGACATACCGGTCATTGAAACCAATGGAAAGACCATTTTTTATGACCACAACAGTGTGTCCCTTCTGAATGATAATTGGGAGGTGACAGTGTCAGTGACAGCAGAACGCGATGCAGGTATTGTGGCGTGTGAGAGTAAGGATCCATTCAGCTCGCCGTGTTACTGGATTATATTAGGAGGATGGAAGAGTTCTGGTTACAAGTCTGTAATCAGAAAATGTCCTAGAGGTGTCAATAAAGATGGTGACACAAGAACTATATGTAGTGAACAAGTAGAAGCGAACAAAGTAAGTATGAATAGAAAATCTGAGTAAGAATGTGAAACCACTGTTACTTGTGAACATGAAGACTACATCCAGAAATATTCAACATAAAACGATGTTATGCTCCTGGTATATGTAACAGTAATTTGAATCCAGATGGGTTATTTAGTGGTACAGTAATTTGCGACATACATTTTTTCCCTTCATCTTCTGTCTCACTTTGAAGCATAGGGTTGATTTCTCAGTTTCATTGCTCAATTATACAGATGGTAGGACTCCTTGAACAGGTGATCAGCTCATCACAAAGGCTCTGCCTAAACACACACACACACAGAATAAATGCATACACACACACACCAAATATCCATGCCTTGTGTGGGATTCGAACCCACAATCCTGGGTTCCGAGCGAACACAGTACGTGCCTTAGACCGCTCGGCTACCGTGACCGGCTCCGACATACATTAATGAATTTTATTAAATAATTAAAATTGATTTTTAACTCTGAATGTAGTTATGTAAGAACTAAATTTTCTGATCTTGCAGTTTTGTATCTGTTAAAATAAGGGTCAAGCTAAAATGTTAATAATCACGTCATCTTGTCTGAAGAGTTATCTACAAATGTACATTGTAACTAAATACTAGATCTTATCACAAAATTAATGAAGCAAGGCACTTTTATTGAGTTCATCTTATAATTTCGCATGCAGCCATACTTATTCTCTAGCATAGCGGCCTCTGTAGTCTAGAGGTAACATTCCCACCTCATGACTCGTAGTACACGGGTTCAAATACCAGTCGGAGGTCGTCGAATTTTTAAGGGCCGAAAAATTCAGGGAACAAGTCCTCCGGGAGGGACTTTAAGCCGTGTGTCCCGTGTCGTAACTTTATGGCACGTAAAAGAACCTCATATCTCCAAAGGAGATCACTGAGCCAAATTCCAGGACGTTTCCCGCCCAACAATAGTCTCTAAGGCCTCTGATAGATGGGGGAAGCATTATAGACACCGCTAAGCCAGTAGAGGCCGAACTCGCTGGCTCGGTTGGGACTGATGGTACGCACCAATATCGGTAGGGTATAGGGACTGGTAGAATATCATAGAGGGAAGCACAATGGACCAATACTGGTCTAAGTGCATGGGGAAACCCACCCTCTCCAATAACTAACTAACCAACTAACTAAATAACTATTCTCTAGCATCGGATCTGCGTGAATTACTTGGCAGATTAGAAGATTAACTTGTAGTAATCTCCCTCTATGCACTATGTAAACATATTGTCACGTGTTAGTGATTATACACTGGAATTTGATTGATAATTTGATTTATTAAACGCTTATAATTCATAATTAAACAAAGTTGAAACACTTTAACTAATCTGGACACACTACATATCAGTACTGCATCAGTTGCGTATACTGGTAACCACCACCCCTGACCTCCGACATCCAAATGTCAACTTCTGACTGGCGAACTCAGAGTCAGGGTTACTACCCTGTGACTGGCGGATTACCGCAAACCATTTTGTCTTGGTGCCAAGTTCCTTGAGGGATTAGAGATTGTTTTTTTCTTTTGCAGCAGAACCCCTGTGGTTGTAGTTCTTATGTAATATCTCTGACGAGAGGATGGGGTTGTCTGTCATGAATAGGCTTTGCCATTGTCAAGTGTACACCTACATATTGCACATGTAGCACAGGTCTACACGGTTATGGAGAATGTATTTTTTTTCCCGCAAGTGGTCAGTCTGATTAAAGTGATAATTTGGAATAAAGAACCTCTCATAGAGTTCGAGATGTGTTTCTGAGACCAGAGCCACATCTATATGTAAGTATTGCAGCTGTTTATTCAGCTCATAGCGCTGACTCCAAATACCATTTGCATTAAATGCTATGACCTGGAGAGGCCTATGAATTCTAGAAGCCATTTTGTTATTAATTTGAACCATTTTTGTAAGGACCATTATTTTCTCTTTTTCTGACACCGCTTCACCGAGCCTTATGATAATCTAATGCACTAGAGTGGTGATTTTTAATGTGTCACTGTTAGTCGACCTGGGGGTCTGTAGTGACAGACATGTTCTCTGAACTTCCTTTTGCGTCAAATATTGCTGTACAGGAGAAGAATCTCCTCCAAGAGCATTCCTTTGGAGCTTGTTGTGCTCTTCTCCTTTGCAGATATCCTTTCGCGTGACTGCAGCCTCGATATGATACGGGGTGAGGTTGTGCCGTCTACGCTCTGCTACCACTTGTGCCGTTTGTACCGCCTACTACCACTTGTACCATATGTACCGTCTTACGGTCTGCTACCACAGCACCGTTTCTCTCTGGCACCTTTCGGCTCTGTCTACCCTTCCTCAATCGGAGGGGGAAACGGTGCTCCGTCATACGGCTCTCGTGCTGTGCTCGCACGCTCCCTAAGTTAGAGTAAGGGATCCAAGCTAGCAGCGAGGTAAATCTAGTTAAAAATGATGGCAATCAATATAATAACAAAATTTAATAAACACAACTAACACATAACCAAAGACAAGAATTCATCGTTGTTACAGCGCACGAGCCCAAGAAATTAAAACAGAACAACTCAACTAATTACACATTTACATGCTCACACACAGCGGCATCTAATTCGGGCAGAATGGCCCATATTTACTGGCGCAACAATTTTCCTTGGTTGCATGAAAACATAACTACTACTTTCTAGCCAGGCCACAGGCTGAGTCTAAACTAAATACACAATATAAATTATAAACACAGGTTTAACTAAACTGGTACGAGTCGCCGCCGCACTACTCGTACAAACCCAACGACGGGCGATCTCGCTGGCCGCGAACCAGCCCACTACTTGCCGAAACCAATTTTGGACTCCCAGCCGAACAGGAATTTGACAATCACTCCGGCTGGCTTGGCGCCGCGAGCAAGGCCCTATGGATCCATAACCAGAACTGTCCTCCGAACTCGAATTAACTTCCAAGCAAGGCTCCCAGGGGTAGAAACGAGGGGAGAGGGCAACAACACGTGACCCAGTCCCGCATGGGAAGGGGGTGGGGGATAAGTTTAAGAACCTCGATCAAGGGGCTGGAAGCCCAAGACATCATACCAGAACCTCGATCAAGGGGCTGGAAGCCCAAGACATCATACCAGAGCCAATACTTGGCTCAAGGTTTCTCTCCTTCTGCTAAGGCACAATTGCAGCTGCTCCGTATAGACTGCCTCTGTGGTCTAGTGGTCAGAATTCCTGGCTACAGGTCCACAGGTCTCAGGTTCAATTCCCTTGTGCTACCAGATTTTCTGAGAAATACTGGGTCTGGAATGGAGTCCACTCAACCTCATGAGTATAATTGAGGAAATAGTGGTTCACAGAAAACCGAGATCAAGGGCCACGGGGAACCATTGCACTGAACATGTGACACCCTCTATCCGCAAAAGTTGGCACTAACTTCGCCGAAAAACGACGGTCGCTCGGTCGGTATAGTTCACTTGCGGACTACAGGCCATGGAGTTTCCTTATGTTTGTTTTGGGCATTCCATATGAAGGTGATCATCACCGCACCACAAACATTTAGGGAGTTGCTTAAAGTTGGTTCAGACATGGCCAAAGTTTTGGCAGTTGTAGCACTGTGTGTTGTTTCCTTTGTGAAATCACATTGGATCATCAAGGTAAAAACGGATAAGAAATAAAACGCCTTCGTCCAAATCTAACGTTTACTGGAGACTAACTTCATTCACAAACATTACAAGATACCAAAGGTACATTAACAAAAGAAGCAGCAGTGGGTGTGGTACCAACTTATGAACAATATATATCACATGATAAATATGGCCAACACTAGAACTATAGTATTACAACACCTCCCCTTGCTGGACATATTTTACAGTCAAAATCTATAATTACAATAACCAAAAGTAAAACAAGTTTACAATTCCACACCGAATTTCAAACCTATCTTTAAAGACAGCTCATTTATCTTTGGACCATTAGTAGCTTTAGTCAGCATATCAGCACAATTAGTGCTTGAATCTACATACTGGATACTAATATCTCCATCATTAACATATTCTCTAATCTTATGTTGCCGCATTCTAAAATGCTTNGTGAATGCTTGTTGAGTTCAGTAATCTTATTCTTTGTGCACATATCATTTGCCTGTAAATTGTCTCCAAAGATTATACTAGGAGTAGATACTGCTACATTAATTTCTGACAGAAACTCTCTCATCCAAATAACTTCCTTGCTACACTCATATAATGCTATATACTCAGCTTCGTTGGTAGATGTGGCTACAATGTCTTGTTTCTTGGACTTCCAAGACACAGCTCCCTTTGACATCATGATAACATAACCCGCCACG